TTTTTTTGACGTTTGGAGAAAAAGTAAATTTCTACCACCTCGACAGGTGTTAACCCGCTGGATTTGCCTAGCAGCATAGAAATCAAATTTCTGACATCTTGACAGGGGTTAACAAAGTGACATTTTTCTGACGTTTGGAGAAAAATGAAATTTTGTTGTCTATTTATTAATGGGTAGGGGGGTCGCGACCTTATGAGCAATTCTCAGGGTTGCCAGATTGGGCTATTTATAGCCAATTGGGCTATCTCAACAAGTCTGCGGCTCCTTAAAATTTTTATTTGGCTACAGGCTCCTAATTGGGCTATCAGTTTTTAAAGAAGTTTTAAAATGGGCGGTTTTAAAATATCATAACAATACAACTACAACAACAAATTACAAAAGTTAAAATGTAGTCCAATCCAAGTGTATTTGCGAACGCATTCAGCGCATACTACACCATTTCCAACAGTATTTCAAAATCGGTCAGATGTATTTCAAAATAATCACTTTTATTTCAAAAATTTATATTTTAATTTCCAATTTGTCACTTTTATTTCCAAATATATCATTTGTATTTCAAATTAATCAAATGTATTTCAAACTGTACCATTTATACTTCAAAAAAATCAGATGTATTTCAAAATCATCATTTCTATATCATCAAAAACTGTAAGGGAGATACAGGGTGTCTCGTTATAATTTGATTTCTTAAACTGTACGATATAAACACCATACTTTATTTTTTAACCGAATTGGTAATCTTTGAAATAAAACTGACCCTTTTTGAAATACATTTCACTAATTTGAAATACATTTGATGTTTTTCGAAATAAATTTGGTTATTTTGAAATACATTTGATGTATTTTGAAATAAAATTCATAAAGATTGAAATCAAATTTATGCTTTTTGATATTCAATTGATGATTTTGAAATACATTTGATATTTTTTTAAATTAAAGTTGTTATTTTGAAATACATTTGATGCTTTTTGAAATCAACTTTATCTATTTTGAACTAAAACTGGAAATGGTGTAGTGCGTAGAGTACTATGAGCGGATCACTCGGATCAGTGTTTCAGAAAAACGCTATTGTTGACATTCATATTTTGACATTGTCAATAATTGTCATGTCATTCATTCAATATTATTATTTATATTTTCGTTCGTTTGTTTACATTTCGAAATTCGAATTACGGAACGGTCGTTATTCAACATTCGTCACTATTACTGGATGGACGATATTTCAAAATGCCGAAAACGATTAAATCTGGGAAGTATTCTAAATATACAAAGCCTTATAATAAGGATTGGGAATTGGAACAACAATTTAAAGGTAGTTGTAAGCTTTTAGATATTTAATGTATGCAACATTAGCTATTACTATTTTAGGCTGGTTACATTACAAGAAAGCAGAACCAAAATTGGTGCATTTTGCAAATTCTGTAAATCAGAACTACGAGCACAAAAAAATGATTTAATAAAACATGCTCAAACAAAAATTCATTTGGCAAACCAAAAAAAGCATGTGTTTGTACCCTTAGAAGGGCACCGTCAATTAACGGACCTAGGTAAAATCTTTTCCGCACTCGGCTGCATCACCGAACTCCGCTACGCGTCGTTCGGTGAACGGCAGCCGCGTGCGGAAAAATTCATTTTCCGCACTTGTTAGGTAAATAGCTATTTTGTTTTGCATTCTTTTTTAATTTTTCTTTTTAGGTGTAACCTCAGTTGCGACAATATCTAACGAGATGAAAGTTAAGGAGTTACAGCTCTCAGTTTATATAGCAATGCATTCTGCAATAAGGTCTGTCAATCATTTAGGAGAAATTATCAATGATGATAATAAAAACAACAACCACAAGAAAGATCTAAGGTTACATCGAACAAAGTGCTCCACACTGATCCAAAATGTTATAGCACCTTCTATTTTAAACGACCTAGTGGAAGATCTTGGGGATTCTAAGTATTCCCTTATCCTTGACGAATCCACTGACATTTCGATTCACAAATACATGGCAGTCTGTATTCGATATTTTAGCTTAAAGCAATGTCTTATGATTACGGAGTATTTTGGTTTATTTGAAGTTGGTCGGGCTAGGGCAGAGGATTTGTATGAAGGTTTGAAAGATTTTCTTACTGAAAATAGGTTGAATATAAAGAATTTAATTGGTTTAGGCACTGATGGGGCGAATAATTTATGCGGGAAAAATAACTCGTTATATACTAGATTAAAAAATGAAAATCCAAATTTAATTTTATTAAAATGCGTTTGCCACTCAATACACCTCTGTACTTCAAAGGCTACAGAAGAACTGCCAACATGCCTTGACTTTTTAATTAGGGAAACATACAACTGGTTTTCTCATAGTCCCTTAAGAAGAATGAATTATGAAAATATTTATGTATTAATTAATGATGGGAAAAAACCCTTAAATTTAGTTCAACTAGCTGCTACTAGATGGCTTTCTAGATATAATTATGTAGAGCGAATACTATCTCAGTGGGTAGAATTAAAAACTCATTTTGGAATTGCTGCTACTAATGAAAAATGCTATTCTAGCAGGATGCTTTATGACATGTATAAAGATGACAAAAATTACCTTTTTTTATATTTTCTTAAACCAATTTTAAAAGAACTCACCCAATGTAACTTATTTTTTCAATCTGAAAATGCTGACGTCGAAATTATACATGAAAACTTGGTGAGCCTTATCTCTTCTAATTGCAAAAGAATTTTAAAGCAACAGTTTATCAATAAACTAAACCAAGAAACTTGGCAACTCAATATTTTAGCTAAAATTTTAGAAAACGAATTAGCTTATGAAAATGTTCAAGACATAGATTTTGGCGTTTATTTTTTGATGAAACTTTCAGAATCTTCTATAAGTGAAGAAGACAAAAACATCTTAAAAATAAGGTGTTTCAATTTTCTGAAACAGTTATGTTTACATTTATTACAAAAAATTCCAGAAAATATGTCCGTTATAGAAAAGATAAAAATGTTTTCGCCAAAATCATGTTTGAATCAAGTTAGGCCAAAATTTATTGATTTGCCTTTAAATGTGTTGGCTCTAGAGGAAGACACTCTTATCGATTTAGAAAATCAGTGGAGACAACTACTCTCAGTTAATTGGGTTGATGTTTGTGACAACACAAATAACACAATTAATTTTTGGAGTTCTGTATTGGCATATGAAAATGCTTTAAAGGAAAAACCTTTTTTCATTTTGGCTAAATCAGTCTTGGAACTTCTGAGCATTCCTGTCAGTAATGCCACTGTAGAGAGGGTTTTTTCCATAATGAACTCTATTAAGACAAAACCCAGGAACCGCCTGAGCCTAAAACTGTTGGATGCTCTTTTAAGGGTCAGATTGCATTACTGTACGAAGGGTTGCTGTAAAAATTTCAAAGCAACTGATAAAATGTTAAGTTTATTTTCTTCAAATATGTACATAAGTAGAATAAACAATACTTCTACCGCAGAAGAGGCTGAAGTTGGTAATGATGTTTGGGAGGCTTTAGATTTAGTTTAGAACTCAATTTAGATAGAATAATATCTATTAAGTATAAGGAGATTTTATTTTTTGTTACCTATTTAGAATTGTGTTTTTTTTTTTAGTCAGATACAGAGTAACTACTAGTTCCTATACGTGCTGTGTTTGATGTTATCACATAATATGTTTTTGTGTTCATTTAATAAAAGTATTATAGTATATCAAGTATAGAGTATTTTTTGAATAACCCTAAACCCTTGGTTTTTTATAGTTGCTAGGGACACTAGTGCTAGTCGGCAGTCGCTTCGCTACACGCTCTAATTTATGATTATGAATATTATGTTTCATTTTAATAGAAAAAAAACAACGCCATCTCTTGAATAACCAACCCAACAATTTCTGTTTGATTTTGACAAACACACCCGTCAGATGGCGTGGTTAATTGGCTATTTTGGGCTTCTTTTCAATAAACGTGAAGTTGGCTACTTTGGGCTATTTTTTCTGATAAATCGGCGATTTTCGTTTAAATAGATCTGGCAACCCTGGCAATTCTGTAAAAGGGTGGTGACTAAAAAAAGGTTGGGAATCACTGCTCTATAGGGTGATTCACGAAGCCCGTACTAGCTTGAGCTTGCGGGTGGGTGGATTAGATGCTATTTCTACTTATTAACCTACAAACTGGACAACTTCTAATGCACAAGCTAAGCTACGTAAATCACTGTGTATATCCCAGCATTTTTGACCAGTTGTGAGTTGAACAGGGACACCCTGTATAAAGAAAATAAAATAAAACTGAACAATAATACCTCTAAATAAAATTTTAAAATAAAAAATAAGGAAAAATAATAAAATGCATATTACTTACTTAATTTATCCTTATCGTCGAAACCAGAAAAATCTTGATAATAGTAATGAATAATAACAAGTACAATTCAAAAATAAGTGATTTATATTTATAAGTAGTTTTAATTTTTTCCAATTTTCAAAAAAACTCCGTGAAATCGGGACTTTTTAGAGTCCCGACGTATAGTCCATCGGGACACGGGACAAAATCTCCAATATCGGGACTGTCCCGTTAAAATCGGGACGACTGGCAACCCTAAATAGGGGCCGCGCATTCGTAAGCTTCAACGCATTTTGCGCTTCAACCCCCCATAAAAATATATGAATTTTGCTTAGAATTACTAACCCTACAATTCTATCCATGTTGTCTGACTGGGAAAATAAGTACTGAAAATCGTCACTGCCTCCTAGACTATAACAAGAATTCTAGGCTTAGGATAGTTCATAATAGATTCCAGACAGCTCAATTCCTAATTGAGCCTTCTGTTCCTCTATTGATGTATACAATACAGGACAAAAATGTCTTATGGCTGGTTTATACAACATTTGCATAGTCGTAATCATAATCATAGTCTTATTTGTGGTTTTGATATTAAGTTAAAATTCTATATTATGGAAGTGCTTTTAAATAATTTCTGCAAAATTAGTAGTTTTATTAATGTTATCAAAAATAACCATTCATACCTGTGTATTTTCTTCTGCAGACATCTCAAAACACACTATTCATCCTACGTTATGCAAAAATTGAAAAAAAATATTTATAAAATGTTCTCAATACTTCTCAAGGTGATATTTATTTTTCAAGTACAAAAAATATACATTAAATTCGAATTTAATCTGACCTTTGTTTTCAATTTATGATTGCAATCACATAATTAATGTTAAATATTGTTTATAGCTTCTCATTTTGCTTGTTCTCAAATATTGTTTTTCATTGTGCTTGTTCTCAAATAATTGTTTATAATATAAATCTAACCTACACAAAGATTTGAAAAAATAAACTTACCCGGTCCAAAGACATAGGTAGGTAGCTGAAATAGGTTTCTTTTTGGATTTAGTTTCAAAGATAAGATTATAGAAAGTGGATATTTCTTTGAAAAAATTGATTTTTTGTTTAAATTTTAAATCATTTTGTGCGCCTCGGCACGAGTTGTGCCATGTGTCAAAAGGGGAGTTTTCGATTCGCGCTAGGGTTGTGGTCGGTTCTCCCTATGAGGCATACGTTCGGAACCTTAGACTTCGGAACAACCTTACGTTCGCCAGTCTCGAATCAGCAGCTGGTTTGCGTGTGACGCCAACACTTCCAACAGCCAATAGTAGTGACGTCACCCGCAGACCTCGATAGAATGTCTGATTTTCTCGTTGATTTTAAATGTACGGTATCCGCCAAAATAAACAGTACCGAAATCTAGAGCTCTGAGTAATTGCGCACGCAAGTTGCAATCATCATATTTCGCTTACTTGGCATCAGTTATGAGGTTGACATTCAGTATTCAGTTAAGGTTAAAATCTTCGTCATTATGTATCTTCCAACTGAAAATAGTATTTTACATTATTAGCCAGGTAAAACAGTTTTTACTGGCGATTGAAGGAAATGACTAGCGAGCCGTCAGGCGAGCTTGTCACCTTCAAGAGCCAGTAAAAACTGCTACCTGGCGTATAATGTACAATAGTTTATTTGTTACTCATTTGTAAAAAATATAGGGAAAAATAAAAAATTGATAAGTACATAAAATTAGAAAAAAAAGAAATATTTTTTTTTTTTGATTTTTTGTCATACAAGCCTAGTACCTATACCTATAAGAACGAGATGTTGTTAAGTCGTTGTTTTTAGTTATAATCCGGTTTTCTGGAAGATTTGCATTTTGCAATTTTTTTCCAGAAATGAATGTGTCAGAAGATATTATTAATGAAACTACAGTCGTAGCTAACAGTTTATCACCAGATAAGGATTCCAGAAGGTACCTACATACAATTATTCTTGTGAAAAAACTGATTTTTTAAAAATAAATAATTCTACTGACTTGTAAAAAGTTTTTACAGTTTAGCTGTCAATTTTACAAGTCAGTAGAGCCAGTGCCTTGTAAAAATGAATTTTCGTTGTTTATGTTTTGACTTGATAAGTGACGTTTTACAAATGAGTGACAAATAAAACAGTTTTCTTAGTAGAGCACTATTTCCGGTCATACAGGGTGAGTAAAGGAAGTCATGTTTTTTTGGCAAAGTTTGGGGCTATGCCAGATTCTTAATTTTTGATCTTGGAAATTTTTATATACTTCTTTTTGATCTTTGGACTATCCCAAAAAAAGTAATTTCTCAAATTTTTCGAAAGTTGGCTATAACGCAAATTATCGAATTTTTAAAAAAGGGTTACATTTATCCCTAAAAAAGTGATTTTTTCGGAGTTTCGCTTGAGAATGGGTAATTTTTCTCATACTTTTGCATGAAGTAGAATTTTTTGGCCCCGAGAAAAGATTGAAGCACTCATTGAACGTATTGCCTACAGTGGCGTGCAGAAAAAATTTGCTTTTGACATTATGTAATTACGATCGAATTCATAAATTAAATTATACTATGCAAATAAACAGCTTAATGAACAAATTCACCTTACTACTCTTGATACAGGAATGTATTCCAGTGGCGTAACACCAAGAGCATCTTTTGGTTTGGTGGGAAGAACTTAAAAATTCGTATTTTTCAAAATGCTATGATGCTGGTCTACACTACTGTTCATCTTTCATCTGGAATTTTTTAACCTTGTTATTCAGCATTGGCGTACCCGCTTGGATAAAAGGGTCCTTCTTTGAATAACCTCCCACAATAATGTCTTTCTGCTTGACCTCGAATTTTTTTCTGTCATGGGTAGCTTTTTTTTTAAATGGGCAAAAGAGATAGCGTTATTGCTGCGCGATACGCTTGCAGATACCTTTTAAAGGTACGCGTCCACTAAGCGGATCGGGCCGGGGCGCATCTAAACATTCCGGTATAGGATTCGGCACCTAGGCCTATTTCATTGGTCCGTTTGAATTTGGACCGCCAATTAATGCGGAGCGCCGAAATCCATACTTGAATGTTGAACGGTGCTGAGCCTTAGGTCGGAATGGTTCAGTAGTAACAGGCATGTGGATTGTCGAATCTAAGGTCTAAATGTTAAACAGTGCTGAGCATCAGTTTAGAATTTTGCCATGCGTTTGGCGCGGTTTTTAAAAGCTATTTTATATTAACTTAGCTGTCCACCCCTTTCGTGTTCCTGTTTGCTACAATTTTGCGGCGGATGCGGCCTATTTGGTACGTTGCTTAATATGTTCTTGTGCCTAAACATACAGGATGAGTTTGTCTGGATCATTTAAACACTTTCAATGTGGTGAACAAATTTACCGTGCTAACATCTTAGAGGAAAATGATATAAAGCGATGGATAGAAAAGTATGATATAACATATACGAATTGGAATGTGAAGTCAGCAAAGAATAATTATACAAGATTCAAATGTAGGTTTGTGTTCAATGTCAATTCAATGACGTAGAATCTTCTTGAAGTATCTTCTTGGATACGAATAGACTTTAGAAAATACATTTCTTAGATATGTTTTTGTATGCCGTCATAGGGCTTACAAAAAAGTGGATCAAGGAAATAATAAAAAAGGAAAATCAGCAGTTGAATGCCGAATCTAAGGTCAAAATGTTATAAACAGTGCTGAGCATCAGGTCAGAATGTAACCATGCGTTTGGCGCGGTTTTTATATTAAATCAGCTGTCCACCCCCTTCGTACAATTTTGCAGCAGATGCGGTCTTTTTGGCACGTTGCTTTATGCGTCCTTGTGCTTTACATGCAAAATGAATTTGTCTGAAACATTCAAACACTTCCAATGTGGTGAACAAATTCACCGTGCATTTTAGAGGAAAACATAGTACTGAACAGTGAACAAAGCTGGTTCAGTTCATGTGGCAACAAGCAAATAAAACTTATGTATGCTGATTTTGTGCCGCGCTGACGGGGCAACATTCCAACCTGCAGCTGGGCACTATTTAACATTTTGTCCTTAGATTCGGCACTCCACATACCTATTGCTACAGAACCATTTCGACCTGATGCTCAGCACCGTAGTAGGTCTCTATTACTTCTCAGGGGGCACATCAATTGCATGTTAAAAAAAAAGAAAAAGTAGCCATGAAAAAAAATACGAGGTCGAGCCGAAAGACATTTATTGTGGGAAGTTATCCATCAAAAGACCCTTTCATCCAAGCTGGTACGCCAATGCTGAATGAAAAAGATAACAACTTCCAGATAAAAGATGAACAGCACTATTTGCTAGCATCATATAGCATTTTGAAAAATATCGATTTTTAAGTTCTACTTACCAAACCAGAAAATACTCTCGGTATTACGCCATTGGAATACACCCTTGTATTAAGAGTTGTAACTTGGATTTGTTCAATAAATTTTTTAATTGCATAGTAAAATTTATAAATTCCGTTAGCAAATTTTTGCTGAACGCCACTGTAGGCCAATAACGTTCAATAAGTGCTCCAATCTTTTTTCGGTCCCAAGAAATTCCACTTCATGCAACAGGATGAGAAAAAATATCCATTCTCGAGAGAAACCCCGAAAAAGTCCCTTTAGGGATAAATGTAACCCTTTTCTAAAAATCCAATAATTTGCGTTATAGCCAAGTTTCGAAAAATTTGAGAAATTACTTTTTTTTGGGATAGTCGGTCTCCATTGCTTCTCAGGAGACCAGTCAATTGCACGTTTTTTTTTTTTTTTTAAAAAAGCTACCCATTACAGAAAAAAAATCGAGGTTGAGCCGAAAGACATGATTGCGGGAGGTTATTCAAAGAACGACCCTTTTATCCAAGCTAGTACGCCAATGCAAAATACAAGGTTAAATAACTCCAGATGAAAGATGAACAGCAGTGTAGACCAGCATCATAGCATTTTGAAAAATACGTATTTTTAAGTTCTTCCTACCAAACCAAAAGATGCTCTTGATGTTACGCCACTGGAATACACTCCTGTATCAATAGTAGTAACTTAGATTTATTTGTTCATTGAGCTGTTTAATTGCATAGTATAATTTAATTTATAAATTCGGTTTTATAACATAATGTCAAAAGCAAATTTTTTCTGCACGCCACTGTAGGCAATACGTTCAATGAGTGCTTCAATCGTTTCTCGGGGCCAAGAAATTCTACTTTATGCAAAAGTATGAGAAAAAATACCCATTCTCAAGCGAAACCCCGAAAAAGTCACTTTTTTAGGGATAAATCTCACCCTTTTTTAAAAATTCGATAATTTGCGTTATAGCCAACTTTCGAAAAATTTGAGAAATTACTTTTTTTGGGATAGTCCAAATATCAAAAAGATGCATATAAAAATTTCCAAGATCAAAAATTGAGAACCTGGCATAGCCCCAAACTTTGCCAAAAAAACATGACTTCCTTTACTCCCCCTGTATATGTGCACAAAGGAAAGGAATATACCGGTCAAACCTTGTGCGTGTTCTCAAAAAGTTGGTCAAGAACCTCCCGAATACCGCAACTCGATATCTCTTTCCGTTCCGAAAATATCGAGATTTGAATTTGGGTAAAATTTTCCATGTTGCAAAGCAACTGTCCACCAGTTTAGTTGAAAAACGTTAAATGTTTAATAAATATTATTTCAAAATTTTACATCATCATTTTTGTAATTTTTACATGTGACGCCCGGCCTCAGTTGCTTTATACGACGAGCGGCACTGTCATACGGAGTAGGAAGGAATAAAGGTTCAAGTTTGAAACAAGTCTCAGAAAAATTTCAGCAACCACTCATAAATATTTTCAATGATTTGCTAAATCTTTATGAAGCTTTTTTGCGTCGCTATGATGCATTTTTTAAACATATACGCACGATACAAATTAATAAATTATATAATTTGTATGTTCGGTACTGTTTATTTTGGCGGATACTAGAAAAGGTGATTTCAACTCAGGAATTCGTTTTTTGACCTAAAGTGTTTTTAAACTCGGATTAGGCATTTTCTGCCAAGAGTTGAGGTGTGCGGGCTACACTTTCATAGCGTTTTTCATTGGCCAACCAGTTTAGTCAAAAATATGCTCCAGTTCTAAGGCTAAGTGCAGTCCCAATGACAGGCAATTTTTCGCGATGACAATCAAGCATAATCGATTATGCTGGATTATGTGATGTGTCAATTGTGTCATACTTCCCGAACTCCCCCACCATCAAATTCTGAAGCC